CATTCAATGAAAGAGTAGTATAGTATGTTTTATTGCTGAAACCGAACCTGGTTTGGTTTAGCAAGTCATCCCTTAAACAATGAGTTGGAATGCTACTCTGGCTATTTTTGAGGAGTCCAAACAAAAGGCCCATTTGTACAACTCGGGATAAATCCTGGTACCTCCAACTGAGGCACACCAAGGACTGTCCTGACGACGACCGTTATCCAGACCAAGCTCAGACCGATGCTACTGTATCCGAGAAGATCAGCTCTAATGAGATCAAACTTTACTCTGCACGCAACCCTAACCAGCAATCCAGTTGTATTAACATCATATTCAGTACCAGGGCAACTACCGCGGACATCTTCTCCGCCTTCTCTCACAATTACCCTCGCCCTCACCTGCCAGGTGAAGGTCCCGGTTCACCGCCGATGCGGCTGTAGGACTTGGATTTCAATTGGTGCTTGAGTAGTAGGGATACTTATTGTCGGGGCTGGTTAAGTTTATACATGTCAGTACTCGTACAGCATTTGGGTGGGCATTAACGCAGGTATGTCAACTATTAGATATGACATTGATCTGTGCTTGACGTAACCAACTACACAGAATCAAACAAGCTAGCTTTGATATTTCGGTACCATGACTCTCTAGTGCTCTGACAAATCTTGCAAAACCGACCCTCACTCAAAGTGTGGAACGGTATTAAGGTTCCACCATTAATTATCTGCAGGCTCGCCGGCAATATCTCCTAAACCGGAAACTCGATATGCAATAGGGTCTTGGTGCAAGCAGTCATGTTGTCGAAATCTTTTCCATCCAATTTCCTTGGTACAGGGTTTGTCTCCCTATGGCCAAGTCATAGAGTGGAGACATCACCATGAGCCTGACGGGCGAAAACATTAAACGTGTCTTATTGGATGCAAGAAGGGCGGATGTATGCGAGGGAATCATGACACCAAGGCAGGATACGCATGGGCTCGATACTTGTATGAAAGTTCATAGCGGAGCACATCCAGACAACCATACTCAGTGATAGATATTGCTACATTCTGAACGATAAGTGCAAATTCTAAGTACTACTAGTAGTGAGACAAGAATGTGTTCACATTTATATAGAGGACATATGCCATGTAAGACAAATAACCTCCCAATAGCTTCAAATGTGGTTACTCAACTCCTCCAAATGAGAAACAAAATATTTTCTACCCTTAAGAGGCAACCAATCCACTCATCTGGCACTATTCCACGCCTACCGTCTAAATTCCTCTTCACCAGCGTAGTATCGGTCGTCGTTATGATATCGGATGTGGTACCTCTCACATTCTCTGTGTTCAGCAACTGCACTACGGAGTACACCCGATGCTAACAACCCTTCCGACTCAATTTTCACCTTCATTTTGCAACTAATATTCTACCGAATTCGCTGAATATGTTAATATACTAGAATTGTTTCTACCCAATCCGTAGAGTCAGTCTATTAGATCCTCCATGTCTACTTCATCAGCCTACTTTTTCTACCAACTCTATCATTCCACTAAAGCTACCCCTATCAACCTACTAACAAACAAGGATTGCCAATACTTATAATTAAAAAGATCAATCCTTAAAATATTCATTATAATCTACACTAAACAAGCAAACACAAGATAGAGATCCGTACGCACAAGTACAGATCAGTGCATCCCCCCAACAACCAAGATATATAGCAAACACACCACCAAACACCACCCATTCAACCACATACAAGCACAACCATCATATACACACACACGCGGGCAAATACTCACTCCCAGAACCCTACTCCACAGAAGCTATCTGACCCCGAATACGCGACCGATCCAGGCGCCTAAAATGCCTCATCTACCTGTATACTGTGTTTCAGCCCCGAGACCCACATTGCAGCCTTAACCCCATAATATAAGACAAGATGATTAATTGGGGCAGTCTACACACGGGATCGATATCGTCAGATATATCAGATGCTGAGATAAGTGGCGAGGCGATCGGCGAGGGGTAATTACCGTGCTTAATTTATGTGAAACAAGGTGTTGTCGGCCTGGGTTTTCTGCGATCTTCGATCTATGTCTGATCGCGTGCTGGGCTTATTGTGTATCTACTACCGGGTTTATTTGGGATTTACTATTTGGAGTCGGAGGTGGTTCTGTGTATGTTCTTGTTTGGGTATGATTGTGTAGCTCTGGTTATTTGTTTAGTGTGAAGATTTTGTGAGTGTGCTTTATACCGGTGTTGATGAATGTAAGGCATGTGTTTGTTCCTTGTTTCCCCATCATATTTCTGGAAAAGATAATACGTGTTTTTTGTATGTGGAAGTATATTCGTTGCTAATTTCCTATGTAATGGTACTGCGCGTCTGAGTATAGCCATCCTGTCCAGACTCGAAAAAACAGACAATGACCCAATTGCTAATGCAGAAAGCCTCCGAATTCATAAACTTGAAGAACATAGATAGCCCCTGTACGGAAAGTAATGAGAAAGGTCGGTCGCAAAAGCAAAACCTGCAGAATCATACATCCACCATCTTGCAACTACCCCCTTCACATACAAGTAAATAGTTTTTCACTGGCTCACTCGGCTTCAGATCTTTGTAGAGCTTATTCCGAGTCCGCAACCAGAATGACTGATTACCTACGAAGTCTCCCAAGTGGGAAGGGCGGATGTCAATGAGGGAAACGGTGGTCGTTGAGGTTGATATCGCCTGACCGGCTTTTGCCCGAAGTCTCTGTACAATGAGGTCCCGCACGGATGTTGGCTCGTCGGACTTGCTGTTGAGACAGCCTGACGACCCGGACCCGGTCAGGGGAAGAAGTGTTGTAGAGAGAACGCCTGTGAAGTTTCGCGAGCCAGCTTCCAGTCCGGCAATTGCATCAAGCAGTCCCACATAGAGGAAGGGGTGCTGCAGGATCTCGACTGCGAAAGAATGGCATGTTTGACGACAGAGCAGCCGGTAGTCTTCGTCCTCGAGCAGGTTGGCGAGTCGCAACAGATTGCGCGCAATGGTTCCGTTAACTGATGGAGTGGCCGACTCGGTTCCGGTCTTTAAGCGAAGCAGAGGACCCGGCATGTCTGATGTCATGTTGGACGGTGTACTGTAGTAACCTGCCGGAGTCGATCCCACATATGCAAGGAAATTCTCGTTCAAATATTCTGGTAGTATTGTCAGTATCTATAAGATGGGGGTCTGACAGAACACCTACTCTGAAGCTGTTCTGCAAATTGCAGATAGCTGTCATCAAATGTTGCCTCATACATATCCAACAAGCCGCTGATTAAATAAGCGTAGTCGTCAGCAAAGCCTGGAGTATCGCCTCGGCCACCATCGCGATAAATACGCCACAGTTGCCCGGTTGCTTTATCATAAAGATCATTTTTGATAAAGCTAATTGCTTTTGCTGCTGCCTCCCTGCACTGCTCTGCCTTGGAGCTTTCAATGTGCTCAAACAGAGAACTGCATTTGGCGAGTGCCCCAATGGCTAGCCCGTTCCAGGCGACAATGATCTTGTCGTCCAGATCAGGGCGGACTCGTGTTCGTTCCCGATAATCGTGCAGTTTCTGCTTCGCCGAACGAATGATTCTTACCACTTCTTCTTCCCCTAACCCAAATTCTCTTGCCAGTTTGCTCGGTGTTACCTTTACGGAAAGCACGTTCTGGTTCATAAATTCGTCGTGTGGATCGTTCTCGGGGGAGATATTGCCGTCCGGATGAACACCCCAGTGACGAGCACAAACCCCAGCATCCCGTTGACCGAGCACTTGTGTCAGTTCCTTCAGTGTCCAGACATAGTATGCTCCCTCGCGTTTCTCCGTGTCGTTCGGTGACGGCAGGCTATCCGCGTCTTCCGAAGAGTGAAAAGCACCAGTGGATGACTGAATAGGAGCGGTGGTCAGATATGTGGCCAAATCATACACTGCACCTAGCAGCTCAGGGTTGTGAGTTATCTTGAATGCATCCACATATACATCCAGGAGTTGTGCCTGATCATAAAGCATCTTTTCAAAATGAGGGAGGCTCCAATCAGCAGTGACACTGTATCTTGCGAAGCCATGTCCAATATGATCACGGATACCCCCACGTGCCATACTAATGAGGGTATGCACTGCCATGGCAGTCGCTTTTTCGCATTCTTCTTGACCAACAACATCCGATACCGCATTGGGGTACGCCCCAAGTCGGAGCAGAAAGCTGAGGTTGGCGGGGGTAGGGAACTTAGGTGTGCTAGAAAAACCTCCATGTACAGAATCGTAGCGAGACACAAAATGTTGGTACGCCTCCTCCAGAAGTTCAATGTCCAGATCCTCATCTGCTTCCTTGTCTCCTTGGTACGAATGTGTTCCTTCCTCGGCGAATTCCCTGAGTTGCTTTGTGATCTCCTTCGCACTATCAAGACACCGTTGCTGTTGGGTCTGCCAAACGTCCCGGAGCTTTTCCAGAATATCTACAAAGCTGAGAGTCTCATTACCTAGTAGCGTCGTCGAATTGGGTCCCGGCCAGTAGGTACCGCCAAAGACCGGTTCTAGATCCGGAGTCAAGAATACGTTCAACGGCCAGCCACCAGAGCCAGTGGTAGCTTGCACATAGTTCATGTAGATATCGTCAACATCCGGTCGCTCCTCGCGGTCCACCTTGATTGGGATAAAAGATTCATTCAAGATGGAAGCCACCTCCGGTGACATGAAGGATTCCTTTTCCATGACATGGCACCAGTGGCAAGCCGAGTAACCGATACTAAGAAACACCAGTCGGTTATAGCGCCTGGCGAGGTTGATCGCTTCTGCGTCCCACAGTTGCCAGGCGACTGGGTTATTCATGTGGGCTCTGACATACGGTGACCGGCTGTCGCGTAGCCGGTTGACTAGCTTAGGTCCCGCATCGGTCGCGCCGTGATGAGGATGCGCATGCAAGCCTGATGGGGCCGCCATCTTGCGCCAATATGATCTCCGCGGGAAAGTGAACGACTGCTGGGGAGTAGTAGTACACCGCCTGCTGTAGCGTAAAGACAACCCGGTCCAGCCGCGCGTCTGAGGGGCAGCGGGAGCGACTAAGTTCCAGCGAATATTTGTAGAGTACACAGCCCGGAGGCTAGTCTAGGGGTGATTGAGACTCTGTAGACACACGTGGACGGCAGGGTAACAAAGGAAGGAGGGGAAATAAGAAAGGAACAAGACACGGAGAGAGTACGAGAGATGCCCGTCGATAGGCTGACCCGCATCCGGGAGATCGTCGGCCGTCCTGCGTCATCCATGCATCAAATCGCGCACGTGACTGGGGTAGATTAGTCATCGCTATCAAACAGCAGACAATGCAAACAAACAAACAAATCAATGTATCTACTGAGAGAAAGTATAGGTTACCTGGCATGGATGGTCTGAGATCTCGATGGACGTTTTCGCCCCAGATATCATCTAGAACTTCTATTGTGCTTGATGTCCACCGTGGATGACTATGCTGTCAACCGCCAACATTGGAGAGATCGGGACCCCCGGGCCGTGGGTGCAAGGTGGCCGTGCAAGGATACGCTTTGTGATTTTTCATGATCTTTGCTGATGGCCTTCGAATGCTTTCAAAAGGATTTCCCACCAAGAAACTGAGCGTTTGCAAAATATCACGTCTATATCATACAAGGTCGATGATAGTTGTCGGCGCGAGGCTCAGATTATAATATACTCTTCTTTTGGACCGCGAGATTGCCGGCTTTCCGATGATATACCCTCGACTGCTCGAGAATACATCTCGGCTTGGATCATTTGTGTGCCCAATGGCATTCAGGAATATGAATGATATGTACTTGGTGGTGAGACGAACAATTTGGTTCGAGACTTCGATATTGCCCAACAGATTGTCAACGCGGCTTACACTATTCTTCTGATCATTGAAAGATCTATCGAACATGATGACTTCGACATGTCTGATCATATCCTTAGGACACTGGGCTATTTCCTCCGGTGTTGGGGATATGATGTCACTACGGTGATGCCGGATCTCTGGCTTAAAGCCTAGGTGGCTTAGCAGAAAGGAGGGGTAACAACAAGAAAATCCCAAGCGAGGTTACTGGTCTCACGTTACCTTGGTAGCAGTGTCTTTTCAAATTCAGCCATTCTTCTTTCTTGTTTCCTCTTAACTCCACACTCCCCCTATCAATATCTCCACCCGTCGTCATGGAAGCGCTTGTGGCCCAGGCCATCAGGGACACCACGACCCTTCGGAAGACGTCGGTGCCCTGGACTTTGGGCGAGCCTTACACCCAGGCTTACTATGGCTTTGACCCCACAACATCCACCTGGGTCTCCAAGTCGCCATCAACCAGCAATGATAATGATAGTCTAGCCATCGCCACTATTGCGCTCTATTCATGGAATATTGACTTTATGCTTCCCTTCGCCGCAGCCCGCATGCGACCAGCGCTGGCACATCTTCACCAACTCACACGCCTTCTCCCTCCAAATACTGCCCCTGTTATCTTTCTCCAAGAATGCACCCGTTCTGACTTGGAAACCATTGCTGCGACTCCGTGGGTGCAAGACCATTTCCATCTGACCGATATTGACACCGCCAACTGGGCCACCACGCAGTATGGCACTACCATCCTTGTCAGCAGGCAGTTGCCGATTACGTCTGTCTTTCGTGTCCACTACTCCCACACGCGCATGGATCGCGATGCCCTTTTCGTCGACCTCTCCATTGGGCTTGAGGAGAAGCGAATCCGCCTCTGCAACACGCACCTAGAGTCCTTGGCCCTTGAGCCTCCGTACCGCCCACCACAGATGCAGCTAGTTGCTCAGTATATGCACCATGATGTGGTGGATGCTGCGCTCGCCGCCGGTGACTTTAACGCAATCCAGCCGTTTGATCGCACCTTGCATGTGGACAACCATCTCAAGGACGCATTCCTAGAACTCGGCGGAGAGGAGGACACCGAGGAAGGATATACATGGGGCCAACAAGCAGCAACTAAACAGCGGGCGCAGTTCGGGTGTTCCAGAATGGACAAGGTCTATTTCCGGGGGTCGGTCAAATTACTGAAGTTTGAGCGATTTGGAGAAGATATCCTGGCAGAGGGAGACGAAGAAAGGAGGCAGATCGTAAATCTGGGATTCGAGAAGCCCTGGGTTACGGATCACCTGGGGGTTATGGCGGTAGTGGATGCTCAACTCAACACAAAGGGGCAGCTTTGAGGGGACATAGGAGGATAATTTGACCATGTCATTTGGCACTGGTTGTGAGTACGTTTCTCTGCTCTCGGCAGAGTCGATAAACCTCTACGTGATCTGCTGTATTCTATTGAATGTTTCCATGGCATTACTTAGTTTAGGTATGTTCCCTACAACAAACAATCCTCTTCAAGGTGTAATACTGAACGTTGACTGTATGTAATGGGGTAGTAAACGGCATGTCTTTTACCATTACGTTTGCAGGACAACATAGTACTGCAGTGGATAGTAATAGATTCAATAAGATCATTTTTCTTTTCGTAAACTCTCGAACCGAAAATAAACCGTCGTAGCAATCTCAATTCCTTGGCTTGCAAGGCTACCGGGGGTCTTCTGTTTCCAAAATGAAAAAAGAAACATGCATAATCTAATAGTGCAAAGCAATGTGGACCTTTTAATCCCACGCCGCCCATTCTAAGCATGTAGAGTGAAACTGTGAGCCACACCGGGTCCCCAAGTATGGCTAAAGCCAAGCTAGGTATGTATACTGACGCCTAAATCTCACTGCAGATGTCGGAGTTTTGTTTGTTGAGGAAAGCTATTTATTACGGCGTCTTTACATCTCGCAATTTAATAGGCAGTAGACACGTATAAGGAAAGCTATAAGCTTGAAGTTGATTTGATAATTATATTCGTTCGACCTTCAACTTGACAGGAACAGATGGTTTGCGGGGGCTATGCAACTTGCGGTCTGGCATCGGCGGCTCAGCGACGGTGTCGCCTTGGTCATTGCATAGTGTGAACTGGAACATAGAAACAAACCTGCTTATAAGAATCGTCACGGTGAGCTTGGCAAGCTGAGACAAGTGGCATTAGTTGGATTATCACAATATCGGTAGACTGTAATTTTACTTACTCTCATACCCACTAGGTTATGCCGCATCACATTAGCTGTTGATCCTGTTCGTTTACAATAGATGAAATTCCAGCTTACCACATGGATGTCGGCCAGCTCCCCAGCCAAGATAACTGAGTGGAATATCGTTGCTTTGAGACCCATTTGGGAGATACCTACCGGGGTCCCACCGGTTTGGATTAGGGTAAATATCTGGGTTGAAATGGACTTCGTCAACGAGATAAAACTGTCTAGCATGTCAGGATTTGCGTTCGCGTGAAGCACAGGCCTCAGGATAATCAATACGAACAAGATAGGCATCTTTCGGTATAACCTCTCCAGTACTCCCAATCGGCACACTTTTGCCGCTAATATTTCTGCGGAATGTTGATCCAGCCAGATGAAGCCTGATACACTCGCGCAAACATAGTTGTATCAGAGGAAACTCAGACTCCCACACGTCGATGCTCAGGCGGCGGAAAGTTTCCTGAGGTGTCTCGTCTGGAGCTCCATGCCTTTTTAGTACAGAGTCGACCTCAGTACGCACGAGATTGAGCCAGTGTGGATTTGTGGCTAGGTAGACCAGCAGCCAGGCAGCACAGATTGGAGTATTGACTTGACTTGCGAACAACGTACCAAGTACAAACTGATAAAGATCTGTCTGTTAGCATTTGAGGAAAATCTATTTGATCAGACTGGGCCATCATAGAGCTTGACTTATGATTGACCCATGGGTGTTGGATCCACTGACGCCAATAATCTCTTTAATGGGGGTTCCGCTTTTCGCGAGCGATTGTGACACATCGTCAATGTTTTGGTCACTGTCTTCTCCCACTTGAAGAAGTCGTTTGAAGGTTTGATATAGTTGTATGCCTGCACCGAGTCGTCGAAGAAAAGCTGGGGTGGGCAGCCATGGGAAGATGATGCGCGATGGAGAAGTCCCATCTTCGATCCGTTCGAATAACTTGAGGGTCGTGCTACAGAGCTCCTCTGAGTCGGCTATCTTGTTGAAACCGATGACTCGCATCGTCGACTGGTACACAATGTAGCCGATCTCGTCAAAGATGTCAATAATGCCAGTGTGAGTATTGGGGTCTGTCGCATTCTTGAAATTAGTGTTGATGTCGTTAACTATGCGCGGGAGATTTGCCACGAGGTTTTCCTTTGACATCATGCTGGCAAGAGTATTACGAAACCATTGGGACGAATGAAGGGCTTCATCAGGAGGACGGGGCGAGGCCTCGAAAGATGGAGTTGTAGCTAAGAGAAGTGTGTAGCTTTGCTAAAGTAAGCCGATATCAACTTCCTGAGGACAGCTGCGCCCAAAGCTACTAACCCTTGGCTCAAGTTCATTGCTTTGCTCTGAAAGAAAACCTTGCGGGCTTCGAGACCCGAAATCCCAACAATCTGATGTTTGCCAAAGTAAAAGCTGAAGTTGCCCGTTTTAGACAAAGAAATGCCATCGAAGTACATGCTGTACCGGTCTGAAAAGAACCGTAGCACGCCGAGAATAGGATAGCCCTCTGCGAGTGGCCGTGGGGCTTCATCAGGAAAGGGTGTCTGTCTGTTAAACTGAAGGAAGAGGACGCAAAGGCCACCGAGTAACGGCAGAAGGATAACAATAGCCCAGAGTCCACTCTGGAGTGCCATTGAAAGATCCAGCGACATGATCTGAGTGTCTCTCATGATGTTTATTCGTGACCCAAATGGCATGAGAGCATTCGATAAATGGTGCGGTGTACATCAGTATTCGAAATCATTTATCCCTCTCGTTCCCTTGGCAGTAACCATTCTTTTCCACTGATCACACTTACCTCTTCAGAGGTTATATGATAGGTCAGATCAGTCCAAGTAACAAACGACGCGATTCCAAGATTCTCTCTCAAAAGGTGACGAATTTGAGGCTCGCAAGCTTATAATCCTTCATATCAGTATGAACCTGGGAATTTCTATGCGTCCTCCCTGGTCGGCCGGGTTTACAGATCTATGTAGATCGATTTGGGCCTGCGGGGAAAACAACTTAAAGGTCTCCAGGTAACTAATAGTTAGAGGTGAACACGTAATAAGCAAGACCGCTAAAGGTACTAGTAAGGACCGCAGCTCGGAGATGTTCGGATGCACAATTCTGCCGCAATAACGTATCTCGGTCGTGGCGGTCGGCATGTAAGAGGTCAGACCGCTAAGGTAGCTAAGGTTAACTGGACTCTACGCAAGGGCTTTTATCCGACGATCAAATCCTGCTTTCCCTTTCCCGATGCAGCCACAAAATTCCATTTCACCCCTTTGAATTCCTCCCTCTCTTGAATAGTCACGGAATATTGATCCGCCGGTGGGCTCAATGATGCAGCCATGGCCTTCACATTGGTGGTGGGCTGTTTCCAAGTGCCCTCAGGAGGATGGATGTCAAACTGCATGATCAACATCGCCATGAGAGCCATGATCTCACCTGCAGCTAAGTGACGAC